TCTCTCTCTCTCTCTCTCTCTCTACAGTGTCGATTGGGAACAGGTGAGATAGATAGACAACGAACAGACAGACAGACAGACAGACAGACAGACAGACAGACAGACAGAGGAGGACTCAACTATTATCTATGTACGAAAATCGATAATTGGCCGCCAATTCAGTGGCTACGATACATCCACTGACTGTACGATACATCACCTGACTGTACGATACATCACTGACTGCACGATACATTACCTGACTGTACGATACATCACCTGACTGTACGATACATTACCTGACTGTGATACATCACCTGACTGTACGATACATTACCTGACTGTACGATACATCACCTGACTGGACGCATTACCTGACTGCGATACATCACCTGACTGTACGATACCTTACCTGACTGTACGATACACCACATGACTGTACGATGCCTTACCTGGGTGGGAGGGGTGTGTGTATGGGAGGGAGGGGTGTGTTGAGGAGGGAGGTGTGTATGGGAGGGAGGGGGTGTGTGTGGGGAGGGAGAGTGGGTGGGATGGGGTGTGTGTGGGGGTGGGATGGGGTGTGTGTGGGGAGGACAGGGGGTGTGTGTGGGGAGGGAAGAGGGTGTGTGGGGGAAGGGAGGGTGTGTGGGGAGAGGATGGGGGTGTGTGGGGGAGGAAGGGTGTGTGGGGGGAAGAGGTGGTGTGTGTGGAGAATGTGTGTGGGAAGAGGAGAGGGTGTGTGTGGAGGAGAGAGGTGTGTGGGGGTGGGAGGGGGGTGTGTGTGGGAGGGGGTGTAAGTAAGCAACAGTTAACACTACAGGTAGGTTAGGGTCAGAGCAAATGCGAACACCTGTGGGGGGAGGGGTGTACAGGTGTGTGGGGGGCAGGGATGGAAAGGTGTGTTGAGAGGCAGGTGTACAGGTGTGTTGGGAGGCGGGTGTGTACAGGTGTGTTGAGGCGGAGGTGTGTACAGTTGTGTGGACTAGAAATGGATCGATGGATAATCATATCTTTCATTCGATATAGCGACCTGGATTAATCTCTCTCTCTCTCTCTCTCTCTCTCTCTCTCTCTCTCTCTCTCATCAATATTTGCACCCATACACATCTTGTCTAGGATATAAGGAACTAATCCAGCATTCAGGAGGGATCCTTTTTCAATTATAGGATACCGGCAGGAGATTCATAGTGCACTGTAGGATTTAAAGGGTTACATGAGAGAGAGAGAGAGTTAAAAGTGATGGTCCGACGTAATTATGGACACATACAGCCAGATGCAACCAAATACAGCCAGATGCAACCAAATACAGCCAGATGCAACCAAATACAGCCAGATACAGCCAGACACAGGCAGATAAACAAAGAGACAGAGAGATACAGTGAGATAGAGAGAGCCCTCGTGTATCCAGATTTTATTAAGTGACAGTAATTTACCTGGAGTGGGGCGTCATCAGTGGAACCTAAGTGTAATAACGTGGTGTGTGGGGAGTGTGGGTGAGTGTAGTGTGGGGGTGTAGTGTGGGAAGTATGTAGTGATGAGAGTGTAGTGATGGGGAGTGTAGTGTGGGGAGTGATAAGGAGTGGAGTGTAGTGATGGGGAGTGTAGTGTGGGAGTGTAATGTGGGAGTGTAGTGATGGAGTGTAGTGGGAGTGTGTGAAGAGTGTAGTGTGGGGGTGTGAGTGTGGGGAGTTTAGTGGTGGGGAGTGTAGTGATGGGGGGTGTGGTGTGGGGGAGAGTGTGGTGTGGGGAGTGTAGTGTGGGAGTGTAGTGTGTGTGAGTGTTGTGATGAGAGTGTAGTGGTGGGGGTGTAGTGATGGGGGTGTGGTGTGGGGAGTGTGTGTGGTGTGGGGTTTAGTGGTGGGGAGTTTAGTGTGGGGGTGTAGTGTGGGGATGTGTAGTGGGAGTGTAGTGTGTGGGGAGAGTAGTGATATAAAAGCTAATGTCTTTAAAATTATCTTTTGTGTGTAGTACAGAGTGGGGCCTAGATAGTTACACACACACACACACACACACACACACACACACACACACACACTCTCTCTCTCTCTCTCTCTCTCGTTTCTGTTTACGTGAGTAAACCTATATTGTAATGCAGAGGGTATAGTCTTGGCAGGGTCAACATTACCCTCACATGCACACCTGTTCAAGGTTTTCACAGGTGTCATTCCTCTACCTGTGCCTCATTTCTCCTCCCCTCCTCCCTCCCTCCCTCCATCCTTGCCTCTTTCATCTGAATTCCTCCTTCTTTCTTTTGTTCCCTCCTCCTCTCCCTCCTTCATTCTCTACCTCCTCCTTCTTCGTCCCTCCCTCCTTCATTTCCCTCCCTCCCTCCCTCCTCCCTCCCTCCCTCCCTCATTCTCTACCTCTCTTTATATGCATTCCTTCCTCTCTCTCCCCTCTTTCTCCCCCTCTTCCTGTACACATCGCCAGCACGAGCTATGATCTACGCTGACGTTTTCCTTCCATCCAAGACGGACGTTCTCTTCTCTGCCTGCAGTGGCATTCAATTGTGTCATGATTGTAGTAGTGGACATCTCTCTCTCTCTCTCTCTCTCTCTCTCTCTCTCAATTTCTCTTTGGTAAACTTGTAAAGACCAAGTGTGTGTGTGTGTGTGTGTGTGTGTGTGTGTGTGTGTGTGTGTGTGTGTGTGTGTGTGTGTGTGTGTGTGTGTGTGTGTGTGTGTGTGTGTGTGTGTGTGTGTGTGTGTGTGTGTGTGTGTGTGTGTGTGTGTGTGTGTGTGTGTGTGTGTGTGTGTGTGTGTGTGTGTGTGTGTGTGTGTGTGTGTGTGTGTGTGTGTGTGTGTGTGTGTGTGTGTGTGTGTGTGTGTGTGTGTGTGTGTGTGTGTGTGTGTGTGTGTGTGTGTGTGTGTGTGTGTGTGTGTGTGTGTGTGTGTGTGTGTGTGTGTGTGTGTGTGTGTGTGTGTGTGTGTGTGTGTTTTGTGTGTGTGTGTGTGTGTGTGTGTGTGTGTGTGTGTGTGTGTGTGTGTGTGTGTGTGTGTGTGTGTGTGTGTGTGTGTGTGTGTGTGTGTGTGTGTGTGTGTGTGTGTGTGTGTGTGTGTGTGTGTGTGTGTGTGTGTGTGTGTGTGTGTGTGTGTGTGTGTGTGTCAGCAACTTCCGGAGAATATCGATAGACAATTTCCTATTTGTTAAGGAAGCTGAACTTCTCCTTGACGTATTTCCGTGACTAAAAATAAATAAATAATACATACATACATACATACATACATACATACATACACTAAAGATTCTCTGAGATATATAGGATAGGATTCCCAAAGGCTCGCATTGTTTCTCGTAAGATGACGTCAATATTACACCGAGACTCGACCCTAATGCGAGACCTTCACTTAGTTTACGTGTTAAGTGAGAGAGTCTTCACACGAGACTAGTCATCATCACACAACATCCGGCCCAATGAACTACGTCACATCCCGATAACACCAACTTAATCCTCCTCCTCCCAACTGATAATACGCTGGGATATTTCGTTCTGTGAGACGTGGATTATGTGTGTGTGTGTGTGTGTGAATATCTTTGTGTGTATGTGTGTGTGTATGTGTGTGTTTTCCGTCACCACAATCACAGTAACGCTTTCTGTCTCTTACCAATATATGAAGGGTTCGAATCCTGCTGGGTATCGCCACATGAGTCGGTGTTATCCAGTGTGACCTCACTACCAAACATCACAGGCTTACCGCATTGATGTTGTTGTTGTTGAGAGAGAGGATGTTGGTTCACTCCCCCCTTATCCTCTTTAGTGATGGTAATTTTTGGAGTTAAGGTCAAGGTCAAGTGAGATACAGACAGACAGACGAACGAACAGACAGACAGACGAACAGACAGACAGACGGACAGACGGACAGGAGGAAGAAGGAAGGCGGAAGAAATACGTTGATCCAGTTATACGGAAGTGATCCGATGACCTAGTTGGAGTCCCCTACTGTGTGTGTGTGTGTGTGTGTGTGTGTGTGTGTGTGTGTGTGTGTGTGTGTGTGTGTGTGTGTGTGTGTGTGTCGTCATTGATCCCAAAACCTTAAAGACGAAACTAGACAAGTTGTTTCCTGGTCCTGGAAGATATAGAGTAAACACCTGTAATTAGCGTCTTATCTTTATCTTTTGTTTCTAATTAAAATTTAGGTAACGATGTTACCTGTGTGTGTGTCAGGTTATATTGTGTTGTTTGGGGGATTGTTGTTATTATTGTTATTATTATTATTGTTATTGTTGTTCTTTTTATTATTATTATTATTATTATTATTATTATCATTATCATTATTATTATTGTTATTGTTGTTCTTTTTATTATTATTATTATTATTATTATTATTATTATCATTATCATTATCATTATTATTATTATTATTATTATTATTATTATTATTATTAATATTATCATCGTGGTTATTGTTATTATTATTATTGTTATTGTTATTATTATTATTATTATTATTATTATTATTATTATTATTATTATTATTATTATTATTATTATTATTATTATTATTATTATTATTATTATTATTTTAGCAGCGTTGTAGTAGTAGTAATAGCATTAGTAGTAGTAGCATTAGTAGTAGTAGCATTAGTAGTAGTAGCATTAGTAGTAGTAGTAGTAGTAGTAGTAGTAGTAGTAGTAATGGTTGATCAAGAAGCTTCCTCCTCTAGTGTTCCTAACCTCTGGTGGGATGGGACCAAGTGCAAGATGCTTCTACGCCAGACTCGGAGGTTGATCTCCGAACAAGCAGCAGCCCAGAAGTTATGGTACAGCCTGGATGAGATGTCATCTGTCTTTCTCTCTCCTTCGGTCAGCTTTGCTCTGCCTCAGGGGCAGGCTTCTAACTCCGACAACTGCTGCAGATATTGACTATGAGGCTACAGTCACTGAATGCCGCATAGATCTGCAGCTCATCCTAATACAATGGCGGCGAAGGTGTGGCTATTGGGGGAGGCTGGAGGCCACTTAAAAAAAAGTAGTAGTATTAGTACCGTAGCCTGACTTAACCGTGTCTTCTCTCCCCCAGATGTACACACTCACCGCCTGGGGACGCTTCGGAGTGATGGTGGCGGGAGCGGCGGTGGTGGCGGTAGCGGTGGTGGTGGTGGTGTGTGTGGTAGGGCACGGCTGTTGGCTCAATTGCCCTCCTACTTAATGGTGAGTTAGAGTTAATGTATAGTAGTGAAGTATATTGTATAGTTGAGTGTATAGCATCACGTTGTATAGTTAAAGGTATACTACTGTTGTATAGCCTGTGTATGTGTGTTTTGGAGGGTGAAATTCTCTCTCTCTCTCCCCCTCTGTGCCTCTCTTCCTCTTTTCCATCTCCGTAATTCTCTCTCTCTCTCTCTCTCTCTCTCTCTCTCTCTCTCTCTCTCTCTCTCTCTCTCTCTCTCTCTTCTTTTTCCTCCCTGCCTCCATGTGCATCACTCTCTACGCCTCTTTCTCCCTCTCCATCCATCTCATCTCTCCTATTCTCTCTTCCTCTTTCCCTCTCTCCCATCTCTCTCATTCAAGTCTCTCACTGACCAAACACAACCTATTTTCCATTCCACGGAGTTTTCCCTTCGCTCCGTATGCAAATGAGTTGACCTCCTTCCCTCAATAAAACATTTAAGTGAATATATAACCTAAAACATTCATGTATGCGAGTTTCCATGGTAACGTAAGGATCTTTAGCCCATCAGAACACTTGGGTAATTGACGTAAGAATTCAGCCCATCAGGAACAAAGGAGGGAGTGAACATCAGGGTGGAGATGTCTGATCTGTTAGTAAATTGGTGCTTAGGAATCAGGTCAGGGTGTAGGAGCCGCTGTTGATGTCCTATTGCCAAGTACTGAGTCGTGGAGGATGGTAAGGGGGGGTAAGGGCGAGACAGAGAATAATGCAGAGATAGAGACAGACAGAGAAAGAGACGACACAGACAGATAGACAGACTCACAGACAGACAAGACAGCGACCCAGCCGAAACGGTACATAATCAGACATAAGAGATAAATAACTTTGCGGTTAAATAACGATACAATAACACTGAAATACAACAATAACAACAATACAACCAAACAATAGTCACTCCCACAACATTAAATTAAATAAAAACAAAAACGTGAAACAAATTAACGGGGAAAAAAAAGTCAGTTTCATGTTTATATACTGAGTGTTGCCATCTAGCTGAGCCGTTGTACCAGATATAATTACAGATTCATTATTATTTTATTTGCGTCGTGATGGGATGGCGGTGTTGACTGGACTTTTAATAATAACAATAATGGTAATAATAATAAGCTGGGAGAACTGTACTGTTAATTATTTTCACAGTGGGGAGGACCAGCTTTCAAAATATAGTTCTAACAGTTTATTTGGGTTAAACTTTCAGTATACCAACTCTCTATATATGGTATTAAACCAGTACGAATTTGTATAGTGATTTTACTGCATAAATATCTAAATATATCGGTACATCTGTCTATAGGAGTTTGGGGAATGTTAAAAAACCGGTTTTCTAATGTTACTCCGTTCCCGTTTTCTGTCACACTGATGTATTAGGTGGGATAACTCACTTAAATACCTCACATCACATAACAACAAAACAGAGTGTCATTCCTTCATCAAAGACTCCAAAAGCTTCACATACAAATTAACCACAATCCCGACAGCCTCTTACCTACATCTCTCTCTCTCACTAGAATAAACACTACAGGTACAAGTGTCTCCCTCCACCACTAGCACACCTGTACGACAGATGTGGAAGACCTCGATATGACGTATGTGATCTTGTTTACACGTGTACTCTCTCACACCTGCGCACCACAACAACTACCTTTTGACTGTCCTTCACACTCCTCTTTCACCACCCCCTCCCTACCCTTCCTCCTCTTTCCTCAACCTCCCTCGCACCTGAAGGAAGGGTGAGTCATCAGCTTGTTGCCACGGGAAAAAATGAGTGAAGTTTCTATCTATCTATCTATCTATCTATCTATCTGTCACCAATCACTTACAATCACCAGCCATTTCCAGCTACCAACACAATTGAATTTTTTCTTGAACGCATTAACTCAATTACTTCCTACTCTCGCGTGTGTGTGTAATAATAATAATATTAATTATAATAATAATAAATAATAATAATAATAATAATAATAATAATAATAATAATAATCATAATAAACGGTTTATTAATAGAGTTGCAGCCGGTGGCTGAAAATATACAAACTTACATTTGATTTAGACATAATGATATGCGTTCAATACATTTACAGGGCTGTACAGTACATAAATCAGAGCTGTTTATTATTTTAACAATAGATGGGATGGTGCTATTCTTATATCTATCGGTGTGGGCTCTATGGGCTGAATTTTGTTGTAGTGGCGGACTGCACGAGGTGGGCAAGGATCGCCGGTGGCAGGAGGTGGCAATGACGAGGATGGTGCAGTAGTCCACTGCCAAACCTTACATGCTTGGGGTGGAGGTCACTGAGGATGGCATTTCCAGGTGGAGGAGAGAGCGTTGATGTACAGTCTGCGCCGGCATGATGTGTGTGTGTGTGTGTAATTTCATTATCACTGATGGATATGCATTCCCTTGTATTGTTCCCTTGATACATTCCTTCCGCACGATGATTGGTGGAGAGACTATTCGGTGTTTACTGATTGGTCGAGGGATGATTATTCTCGCTAGGATTGGAGGTACAGAATCTATCGTGTTTTGTCATTAGTTCGTTGAATAAGTTATTTGTTTATTATTATTATTTGTTTGTCATCATTATCATCATCATCATCATCATCATCATCATCATCATCATCATCGTGCCTATCATCTTGCTTTCTCACCCAGCATCTTTCTCTCTAATCCTCTCATACTCTCACTTTGTCACTATCTCAACTTCTCTCTCACTTTCTCACACACTCTCTCACTCTCTCCCTTGGCAGATGAGGAGCGTAGACGTCGAGAGAAGGAGCGTCAGAGCATATACGCCGGTGAGGCCCCTACGCTACGCCTCACCACCTACACGAAGAGCCCCACTAATGACCCTACACCTGACCTGGCCCTCACGTGAGTACCTGTACCTGTAATTGTACCTGTACCTGTGTGTGTGTGAGGAGGTTTTTGAGATATTTCACACACACGCACACACACATGGTTATGAAGATGAATGGCACTTGGCACTGCTAGAAATGATAGATGAGAATGCCAATGCCAGATACCAGCTTTTTGTTAACCAGCCTGTGTTTAACTTATTAACATACATACAGACAGACACACGAGCAAGAGATAGGGTTAAACATAGCCCTGGTAATGGCACTTGACTTGGCACTCTGTGAAAGTAGAAAGGAGATAGTGCCTGTGTCATAAACTCGTTACCTTGTTGGTGATGGTCAGGCAATTTGACCCACCAGAGGGGGAGATGTGTGCCAGTAGTGGATATTTTAGGCACTGGCATCGTTGGCACCATCACTCCTGGCTGTAACACCGTTGGCACCATCACTCCTGGCTGTAACACCGTTGGCACCATTACTCCTGGCTGTAACAATCGTTGGCACCATTACTCCTGGCTGTAACATTGTTGGCACCATCACTCCTGGCTGTAACACCGTTGGCACCATCACCCTGGCTGTAGTTGTGGCACCATCACTCGGCTGTAACACGTGCTGGCACCATCACTCCTGGCTGTAACACCGTTGGCACCATCACTCCTGGCTGTAACACCGTTGGCACCATTACTCCTGGCTGTAACACCGTTGGCACCATTACTCCTGGCTGTAACACCGTTGGCACCATCACTCCTGGCTGTAACACCGTGTAGTGTAAATGTTGCTCAATAAACTTTAAACTTTGATATTAGTTGGTGTAAGGAGATGAAGAGTGCTGGTGTGGTGGAGTGGTGATGTGGTGGTGTGCTGGTGTGGTGGTGTGCTGGTGTGGTAGAGTGCTGGTGTGTGGTGTGCTGGTGCTGGTGGTGGGAGTGCTGGTGGTGGAGTGCTGGTGGTGAGTGCTGGTGGTGGAGGCTGGTGTGGTGGAGTGCTGGGGTGGTGGAGTGCTGGTGGTGGAGTGCTGGTGTGCTGGTGTGGTGTGTGGTGTGCTGGTTGGTGTTGGTGGAGGTGGTGTGGTGGAGTGCTGATGTGGTGGAGTGCTGGTGTGTGGGGAGTGCTGGTGGTGGAGTGCTGGTGGTAGAGTGCTGGTGTGGTAGAGTGCTGGTGTGGTGGAGTGCTGGTGTGCTGGTGCGCTTACAACGATGGTTTTCTAAATTTCTATCGTAATTTTCTCCTTTACCTTTGAACTGAAAATACTAAGCTGAAGAATCTATGTATCATTTTCCCATACATATAATACACATACACTTATACATGTGAGAATACATCTATCCTTGTAGACGCTTTCCCACGACCCTCTTCACTTTCCCACGACCATCCTCACTTCCCCACGACCTTCACTTCCCCACGACTATCCTCACTTCTGACCATCCTCACTCTCACGACTCTCCTCACTTCCCCACGACCATCCTCACTTTCCCACGACCTTCCTCTCACTTCCCCACGACCTCCTCACTTCCCACGACCTCCTCTCTTCCCCGAGATAAAGATAATTGTCTCGTCATTAGAAACACGAGTCAGTGAGATAACTAGTGAGAGAGGAAGTGACAGTTTGAGAGGGAAGGAGGTAAGGAAGGAAGGTGGGGAGGAAGGAAGGGAGGAAGGAAGGTGGGGGAGGAAGGAAGGTGGGGAGGAAGGAGATGGGGAGGAAGGAAGGTGGGGAGGAAGGGGCAGCTGGAAAGACGTGTGGAAGGTGTTAATAGTGAGCAGATGTGTTTAAGGGAAGATGGGGAGAAGGTTGTAGGGAGATGATGGTGGGACGGGGGGAGAAAGGTGAAGGTAGGACAGGTGATGGGGAGAAGGGTGATGGTAGTTGGAGGAGAAGCATAGTAAATAGAGGTAATGTGGAAGGTAGGGTGAGTCTCTTTGTTCTCCTCAGGAATTCAACCCAAGGAAATAAAATAAACCTTTTATGGAAATTGAACCTCTACAAAGTTAACCTGTTAGGGGTAATTAAACTGGTGGGGGGGGGGGTTGGTGGGGAGGATGATGAGCTGTACACCACACCACGAGGTCCTGTGTGTATGTCTGACACGTGATGGGGCAGGAGGAGGGCATGTGTGAAAAGTCAGAGTGAAATGGTAGGTTATAATTGGAAGTGTGTGTGTGTGTGTTGTCAGGTGTTATATTCACACACACACACACACGAGCTAAGATAACTTCATCATAACTCCTGAACCGATGTTATCTATACACTTACTGTCCTTCTCTCTCCTCTCCTTCCCTCCTTCCCTCCTCTCCTCCCCTCCCTCCTTCCCTTCCTCACTTCCCTCCTCCCTCACCCCTCCTCCCTCTCCCTCCCTCCCTCACCCTCCCCTCACCCTCCCTCCCCTCCCTTGAGAGGCGATGAAGACACAGCTCCCAGACGGATAAAGTGACTAACACGTGACAGTTGTGGCCAGGACTTGTGCAGCTGCTGTGATGCTGTACAGGTAAGCGTGAGCCCTGTGCTGCTGCTGTGGTGTTGTGCCAGGTGGTGCCAGGCCTGCAGCAGCTGCTGTGATGCTGTACAGGTGGTGCTAGGCCTTGTGCAGCTGCTGTGATGCTGTACAGGTGGTGCTAGGCCTTGTGCAGCTGGATATAGAAAGGATGAATGTACGGAGATAGATAGATAGATAGATAGATAGATAGATAGATAGATAGACAGATAGAGAACCGCCCCTTAAAAGTCTCGTTGGCAGCTGTGATTGATTGTCTGCGTCACAAGTGTTTTGACGGATATATTCCAGACCTTATTATGGCGGCTGTCGGTATTCAATGATTCACTGTATCATGTCTGCCACGACGGAGGGTGGGGGGACGGAGGGGGGTGCGAGTGAGGGGGACGGGAGGGAAGGAGAGAGACAGTGTGTGGGAGATGAAATTTCTCCACGTGACGGGAAAGTGAGGGAGGGATGGGAGGGGAGTGTGACAGAGGATGGGTGTTAGGGGGAAACTGTGGAAGGAAAGGAATGGAAAGGGGAAGGGGAGACGGAAAAGAGGTGTGATAAGAGTTTGATTGGAGGGAGAGGGTTACACGAATGCTCTTCCTCACTTGGATATCTCTAAAGGTCCTCCAAGCAACACACACACACACACACACACACACACATTCCTTCACTTGTACAGTCGGCTTCATTTAGACCTGGTACAATGGCTGGTGTGTTTTGTGAGATGTGGCAAGTCTGTTACTATTTCCCCTTATTGAACCATCCATATTGAACCATCCTTATTGAACCATCCTAACTAAATCATCCTTGCTGAAGCATCCTTGCTGAACCATCCATACTGAACCATCCTTGCTGAACCATCCATACTGAACCATCCATACTGAACCATCCTTGCTGAACCATCCATACTGAACCATCCATACTGAACCATCCTCGCTGAACCATCCTCACTGAACCATCCATACTGAACCATCCATACTGAACCATCCTTGCTGAACCATCCTTACTGAACCACCACCACTCGCCTCATTCACTCCTCCAACTCCTTAATAAACTATGGATCTCCTGTCACCATTGCAGCTATTACCCATCAACTAATTACCCAATCACCTATAAGTCAGCTGATGGTAAATGGCCATGGGCAGCCTCTCTCCGTCATCACAATGTTAAAAAAATAAAAAAATAATAAAAAATAAATAAATAAATGAAATAAATAAATAAATAAATAAATAAATAAATAAATATATAAAACTGGTCGTCTGTAGAGATTAACACTGGGATAAAGTGTCTAAAATGGCTGTTGTTGTGAAAAGTTTAAAATTAATTGAAAGTTAATCTCGCGCGTCACAACAACTACATACTCTCTCTCTCTCTCTCTCTCTCTCTCTCTCTCTCTCTCTTTTACGTACACAGGTCTTCATGTACTGTACGTTTTCTCCCAATATGTACTTATTATATTTTGCAAACATGTACGGAATTTCCTTCAAATGTACACAATTATGGTTTTAATGTACGTATGTCTCTGTATATGACCACGTCCATTATTAACTCTCTCTTGTACGTACAGGCCAGGCCAGACTCCCACGCACACCAAGTACACGTACATGAGTCCAATTCACGGAGCATCCACGGAGACTAACTCACTCCTAGGGGCGCTGTCCTCCAAGAGGGACTCAACGTACTCATCCATGTCTGAGTACTCGGGCAGGACGTCGCCTACTAACTCCTGTAGGGTGAGTACATTAGTCTAGGTTGAGTACATTTATGTGTCTGTGAAGTGTGTATTAGAGTCCGTATAATGATTTAGCTCGATGAGTATAAGGTGTTTTAAATCTCCCTTGAGTACAGTTACATAGTCTCATGAGAAACGATGTCTTGAGTACAATGTCTTAACCCCTTGAGTCTTAACCATAGTACTCAAAGGGTGAAATCATCGTACTCAGTGTTAAATCATCGTACTGAACATATTAAATCACCGTACTCAGTTTTAAATCATCTTACTCAACATATTAAATCACCGTACTCAGTGTTAAATCATCGTACTGAACATATTAAATCACCGTACTCAGTGTTAAATCATCGTACTGAACATATTAAATCACCGTACTCAGTGTTAAATCATCGTACTGAACATATTAAATCACCGTACTCAGTTTTAAATCATCGCACTCAACATATTAAATAATCTTACTCAAATACGTGTCAGGATTTTTACCCCATTAAGAGAAAGGATTTAAAATGAGTTGTTTGACCTCAATGTTGTCATTATATTGTTTGGGTTTTTTACTCGTGGGGAAGGAAAAGGGAGGTAGGGGGAGGTGGGTATGAAGGGGCTGGTGGGTAGGGAGGGAGGTAGGGGGGAGGTGGGGTATGGAAGGGCTGGTGGGTAGGGAGGGAAGTAGGGAGGTGGGTATGAAGGCTGGTGGGTAGGAGGAAGAGGGGAGGTGGGAAGGAAGGGGCTGGGTGGGTGAGGCTGGTGGGTAGGAGGAGGTAGGGGAGGGGTATGAAGGGGCTGGTGGGTAGGGGAGGGAGGTAGGGGAGATGGGTATGAAGGGCTGGTGGGTAGGAGGAGGTAGGGGAGGTGGGTATGAAGGGCTGGTGGGTAGGAGGGAGGAGGGGAGGTGGGGTATGAAGGGGCTGGTGGGGTAGGGAGGGAAGTAGGGGGAGGTGGGTATGAAGGGGCTGGTGGTAGGAGGAAGTAGGGGGAGGTGGGTATGAAGGGGCTGGTGGGTAGGGAGGGAGGTAGGGGGAGGTGGGGTATGAAGGGCTGGTGGGTAGGGAGGGAGGTAGGGGAGGTGGGTAAGGAAGGGCTGGTGGTGGGAGGAGGTAGGGGGAGGTGGGTATGAAGGCTGGTGGGTAGGAGGAAGTAGGGGAGGTGGGTATGAAGGGGCTGGTGGGTAGGGGAGGGAGGTAGGGGGAGGGTATGAAGGGGCCAGGTAGGGAGGAGGTAGGGGAGGTGGGTATGAAGGGCTGGTGGGTAGGGAGGAGGTAGGGAGGTGGGTATGAAGGGGCTGGTGGGTAGGAGGAGGTAGGGGGAGGTGTGTATGAAGGGCTGGTGGGTGAAGGGAGGTAGGGAGTGAGGGAGGTGGGTATGAAGGGCTGGTGGGTAGGGAGGGAGGTAGGGGGGTGGGTGAAGGGGCTGGTGGGTAGGAGGGAGGTAGGGTGGGTGGGTATGAAGGGCTGGTGGGTAGGGAGGAGTAGGGGTGGGTGGGTATGAAGGGCTGGTGGGTGGGGAGGGAGGTAGGGGAGGTGGGTATGAAGGGGCTGGTGGGTAGGGCGGGAGGGGGAGGAAGGGTAGGAGGGGGAGGAGGAAGGTAGGGGATGAGAGAGGGTGGGGGAGAGTGGAGGGTAGTGAGGAGAAGAGGAGGGGGAGAGAAGAGGGGAAAGAGACAGGAGAGAAAGGTGAGGGAGTGGAGGGAAGGGGAAGAAAGATGAGAGGAGGGTAGAAGGAGGAGGAGAGGATGGTAGAGGGAAGAAGAGGAAAGAGAAGAGAAGAGTCAGGGAATCAGGGAAAGGAATAATGAAGGTAAATCTTACATCTCAACGTTAAAAACTCACTAAACATTTCTCTCTTATTAATTAATTATTTTTCTGGACTTTTGAAGTGAGATTTAATTAGATTTATTTTTATTTTTTGAGTTGTTGTTTTTTTAATTAAGTTTATTTACATTATTTTATTAATTTTTTACTTTATTTCATTTTTGTATTTTTTTTCTTTCTGATTAATTTCTTTGCAATTATGGAAAGAGAGAGAGAGAGAGAGAGAGAGAGAGAGAGAGAGAGAGAACCAGTAGAGAAGGGAATATTCTCTCTCTCTCACTTCTCCCCTCTATGCAGTAAATGGCAACATGTTGGCCGTAACCATGACAACGCCAGACCAGAGGGTACGCTTTGAGTCCTTACTTTATCTGACCTACCCTGGCTGTCTGTGCGTGTCAGGCAAGGTCATCTCATCTCAGGTTGTTATATCACCTTTAACCTCGACTCAGAGTGAATTTTTAGATCATTAGGGGTGATTTTAGGTCATTAGGGGTGATTTAAGGTCATTACGGGTGATTGAAGTCACTAGGGGTGATTTTTGGTCACAAATTATCCAACTAAATTCTCCATGACCTTAGGTGACCATAGATGACTGAAGATGACCCTAATTAACTCTAGATGAGCCTTAGATAGCAAAACATTGACCTAGGGTGACCTGAGATGACCCAAGATGACCTCTCCATGACCTTTCTTAGCTATCCTTGCAGAGTAAACGTGTAGAACAGCATGGATAGATGACCTTGATACCTTAGGATGCCCAAAATGACCCCACATGACCTTAGATAACCATTAAATGACCTCACATGACCTTAGGATGCCCCAAGTGACCCCACATGACCTTAGATAACCATTAAATGACCTCACATGACCTTAGGATGCCCCAAATGACCTCACATGACCTTAGATAACCATTAAATGACCTCTCTTGCTTTATCCTTCCAGAGCAGCGTGGGGGACAGCGTGGGTAGCGGAGTGGGAAGTCCTGTGGGAGGCGAGGCACAAGGCCACCTCTCCTTCGGTGTACAGTACGTCGTGACCAGCCCAGAGTCCAACACTGGCAAGCTGGTCATCACTGTCCTCGTGAGTATCTCGAGACCACCTCCTCCTCCCCACGAGATCTCCTCACTAGACCTCCTTCAAACCTCCTCCTCCAAACCTCCCTGTGAAATCTCCTCCTCCAAACCTCCTCCTCTAGACCTCCTTCTCCACCACCTACTCCTTCCTGTACCAGCCTCACACACACACACACACACACACACACACACATATATATATATATATATATATATATATATATATATATATATATATATATATATATATATATATATATATATATATAGAATTGCTTTCATTAATTTGGTGGAGAATATTATTGACATTCATATTTTATTAGGTCATTATAAATGGATTAGTGTGCTAAATCCCTCGTTAATAATAGACCAATTACTCTCTAATTATTCCACGTAGAGGGTGAGGGGGGGGGTGAGGTGAAGGACTGAGGCCATATGAGTGTGGTGATATTAGATTCCTTCGTCAACCAATTCTCCTGTAGTGGTTCTTATCGTAGCTCCCTGTATCCTGTTCCACCCACAGGTTATACGAGATTCAGTAGAGCAGGAACTAAGGAGATAGTTTATGTATTAATTTCTTTACCTGTAGAATCTGTTGTTTTTGTAGGTGTCTTTTAGTCTCATTCAACACTCTTCAAGTCCTTGTGTTTCATCCCTTCTTCGGGAGACGAGGGGCCTTGGTGGTCGGGGTAAACCTAAACAACTACGGTATTTAAAGTCCTTCATTTTTAGGTGTTTCAGTAAGTCCCTTTTAATACGTTTCGGGTCCTTACCTTCTACAGGAGGCGCGGGGCCTAACAGGACGGGAGTATCTGGGTAACGCGTGTGACCCCTACGTGAAGGTGGTGGTGTGGAAGGAGCGACGGTCTCTCAGGAAGCAGAAGTCTCCTCCCCTACACGTCTTCAGGACCCGCACCGTCAGGCACACCCAGGATCCCACCTTCAACCAGTCTTTCGTCATTGAGGCGGCCAAGAGCGACCTCAAGGTAAGAGAGAGTCATTCCTACTTGTCCCAGACGCCCTTCACAGCTACTCCTCGGGGCGGCTGTTGGACCAAACACCTTACACTTGAACTGGTGAGATTTCTGTCTACTGGAAAACTGTCCAAGGGGGATTTTTGTCCACAGGATATTGTCCATGTACCCATATTATGACCCCAACTCATTGACACATCCTCGAAAAATATTATAAAAGACTCCTACCAGACAACCCCTCCTTCCCCCTGACCCCAAGTCTTTCCTCAGATATCCCTACAGCCATCCTCGGGTATTCCTAGAGGATCGTGTAGGATATAGGAGATTCAGTAAGCCTTTGATGTTGTCCATTACAGGGATTCCAACCCCTGTATAGACCACACCACCAGCTGTTCAGGGGGACTTGACTTCATCGACTACAGAGAACTGTTATTGTTGGGTGTTTGGTTAAATTTAGATGGTAATAATGTATATAGACGAGTGTTTATATAATGTTATTTATATATATTTTCATGTTATTGTTGCTTAACCCCTTCAGTACGATGGCTTAACCCTTTCAGTACGATGGCTTAACCCTTTCAGTACGATGGCTTAACCCTTTCAGTACGATGGCTTAACCCCTTGAGCACGATAACTCAATCCCTTGAGTATAATTATAATGCCACCTCTCGTACGTGTGATAAATAAGAACAGTTCAAGATGTCTTTGAGCCTAATGAGCATAATTCATTTGTTCAGTCCCTCTGATATTTAATTATCCACTAATTAAATACTCTAATTGCCTTCATTACGTCTGATTAGTTGTGATTAGATGCAATGTTTAAATAGATTGATTATATTTACGATTCTCATGATTATATTTAGATTAATTATTTAGATTATTATTATAACCCCTCGATTACTTTTGATAATTATAGACTTTTTAATTAATTAACATACATTGTTAATTGAATGGTAAGGTTCTATCTCATTATTTGAGTCTAATTAATAAATATCGCCCAAGGTTTAATGAAGTGATGTATTTGATAGTTAAGTATAATTAGATTTAGTGGTTGTTAATAGTCTCATAGTGATTATAAGCCTCAGGTGTGCTCTTTAGAGGATTGTGTTAGTTTAATTACATGAGCGTCATATAGGGAAATTTTTTACCTGTGCGGAGTTTAATTAATACGTGGCGATGTTTTTTTGTTATTATGGGGAAATTTAATAAGCCTTTGAGTACGATGATATAACTTTTGAGTACGATGAGTTTACCGTCTTGAGTACAATGATTTA